TAAAAAGTCGCCATAAAAATAAGTAGTAAAGTAAAGTAAAAATATCAGAAAAATCTACTTGAGTACAGTAACAAAGTATTTGTACTTCGTTACTTCCCATCTCTGAAGTCACCCAGGATCACCTTTCTACCATTTAGTGAATCATTTGTAATGAGTAACCTAGATATTTTTTTGTAAAATTGCCAGAATACTTCCATCTGGGAGCTGGTAAACCTGGGATACATACTTTTGTATACCTGGCAATACTTTAGAATATGAACTAGACCAGGCATCCCCAACCTCGGTCCGCGAGGCCCGCTGTCCTGCAGATTTTAGAGGTTTCCTTGCTCTAGCACAGCTGATTTTAACTGAAAGCTGATTAACAGGCTTTTGCTCTACTGCAATCATTATAATCAGTTGTGCTAAAGCAGGGAAACCTCTAAAACCTGCAGGACAGTGGGCCTCGAGGACCGAGATTGGGGATGCCTGAACTAGACATACACTACTTCATTTTGGTAAGGGATTCAAAGTATAGACGAAATGAGTAAATTTGTTTTGTGTTGTCTTTTGCATTGTACTTATACAAAGGGCAGGAAATTTATAATAACACATGTCCTATGAGATTTATTGTTTTCTTGCTCTTTGTTCACTCATGTCTTTGGTGTTATGTGTGTTAATGACAAAAATGCATCTCATATTTGTAGGCTGTTAAAAGACTTAAGATCAACTGATACATTTGAAGCACCTATGTTCTTCTTACAATTTGATATGGTTTTTTTCTCTCTATTTTAAAGTATATTATCCTAAGTCTTTCTAACATTTAAACTTATATCATATTGTTTAAAATAAATTATCGAATTTAATGAAATTCTCCTTTTATCTCGAAAAATAAATGGCTGCATTACCATTTAAAATTATTGTATGGGAAGTGATGTAGTAAATGGGTTGATGGGAGGTCCATGTTTGAGAACGGCATGTTTCTAAAAAAAAAAAAAAAAAAACATTTCTCCACTTCACTTAGTGAGGAAACAGGAAGCGATTGTTGTGGGATGGAAGAAGGAAATAGGGAAACAAAGAAGATTGGAATAGCATAGAGTAAAAAAATTAGAAAAAATTAACCCTTTCTCTCATACTTTAGTGGCCTCCGAGAACTTCCTCCAACATTGCATTAGATTGAAAGATTGTATGGTTTCAATTAAAAAGCTGAGCAAACACAAAAGCATACTTTGTTGGACAAGAGGACCTTGGAATGCAGATCGAGCTATTCACCTACTGTGTTAGTTTGTTTATTCTGATGCCTGCCCACATTTAACAAACAAAAACTGAAGTCTACTGTCGGTGCCTTGTTTTTTTTTTTTTTGGTTTGTTTTTTGATTCATTACAATCACAACTATTGTAATTACTTTTGGGTCCAGTCTGGGTGGGGGGAGGGTGTGGTTTTTCTGAATGTGTATAAAGTCTGAAAAATGGAAAGTCTTTTGTAACCATGAAGACTATCTATTGTTTCTACCTCTGACTTTTCAATAAAAAGATTTGGGGAAAAAAATGAGAAAAAGTGGAAAAAGCAGAAACCAAATGAAGGGGAGTCCAATTCAGAACAATCAAGTGATGAACAATCTAGAAATTCCACAGAAAAACAAAATTATTACAAAATTCACAATAGTTAATCAGGGAGGCTCTTTTGCAGATTGGAATCTGATGAAGTTCCGAAAATGATAAAAAAAAACTTGTAGAAGTCCAAGGTGCCAAAATATTGTATAGTGGAGACGCATTCATAAACTGAAGAGACAGCGCTCAACAAGGCAAAGCTATACGGATTAACAAGGTCGAGGGGTAAAGGCTTCAGTGGAGCTTGGTAGAGAACAAAAGGATTAGCAGGGGTGTCATTGAAGGAGTTCCTCTAAGAGTAACTGACCAAGAGATTCTAGAAAATATAAGTGGTGCAAAAGTAAAAGAAGTGAAATTGTTAAAAACAACAACAAATAGAGAAAGGTATGACAGCTTAGAGATGTTGATCATATTTGAAGAAGAGCAGATACCCAGTAAGGTTTTCATTGGATATATGAGCTACAAAGGTGAAAATATACAATCCTCCACCTCTGAAAAGCTTCAAATGCCCAAAAAAGTGGTCATATAGTCAAAGTATATAAGGGAAAACAATGATTTGGAAGGTGTGCTGGAGAGTACGTATATGGAAAGTGTGGTAAAGAAGTTCAAATTAAATGCTGTAACTGTGGTGGAGAACATACTGCAGCATATCAAGGTCGTAAAGTGAGCAAAAGATCTGGAGATACAAAAGGTGAAATTGGAGCTCGGAATAAGTTATGCTGAAGCTGCAAAAAGAATCCCATCCCAGTCAGAAAGACCCAAAGCAACATAAGCAAATGACAAGTGCAAAAACCTCTGGAGGAGTGTCCCAACATTGCACATATAGACGTGAGAGGAAATGAAAAGGCTGACAAGAAGGTTAAAGAGTCGACAAACCAGAATGAGAGTGAGTGTAATTTGGGCTTACAGTTCCTAAGTTATTTGCTTTTCCATTTGGGTATGCAAAATAGGCAAGAATTTCCCAAAATGAGGTGGATATTTAGAGGGTAAAAGAAAGATCCAAGATAAATGGCAAAAACAGTGGGAAGAAGAAATAAAGGGAAGATGGCTTCACAGAATACAACGGAAGGTGGAGAAGCTTGAGGAAGGAATAGAATACAGGAAAGGATAATAACTAGGCTAGGGTTGGGACATACAGGACTTAATTCAATGTTACAGTTAATAAGGGAAACATTAAAAAGGAAGATTTGACGTCTCTGAAGAAACTGAAACAATAGTACCTGTAGGAAATATATACAAAGAATACAATTGAAAAAGAGTCTTAGACATGAAAAAGAGCAGTTTAGTCAGGTAAACATTTTAAGGAAAAAAGCTTATGATACGTCTATATAAGAGTCTGTTTCATTATTTATTGGAAACAGGATAAGTTTTTGTATTTTTATGAGCATCTTTTTTTTTTATCCACTGCCAACCGCCATTAAAATTAAGAAGAAGGCGAAGAAGAACAAGACTTAGCAAACGGTGTCACTAGCATGTGCATATACACACATACTCATTTTTATGTGAGTTTGTGTGGATATAGATTGATAGATAATATGCAGATTGGTGCATATCATTGAGGTATTTATTAATAACTTCCCTCTGACATCCTTGATGATCACACCCCGGTCTGGTAGGTGGCGGTAAATGCACCTTAAGTCCATTGCCACACACCAATAAAAAACATAAGAAGAAGAAGAAGAAGCATCGGCGTCACTGCCCTGCGGTTCCCTCACAGCGTCGGTACTGTCGGAAAGGCCTTGGTTTGACTTCAACATTTTATTCTTTCGTGATTAAAACACGGCTTACACAGATTGTTGGTTGATTTAGTATAGTTAAATGTTAGAGAAGACGAGGTAGTTTTAACTTTACCGCTGTTTAAATAATGTAGCGCTAACATTTATCTTCGCTGGCTAGCTAACGGGTAAGCTAGCAGCCAATGTTGTTGTTTAGATCGCTGACTAAAACGAGAGTCTAATACTAGACGCCTGGAATAATATTTGTGTATTTAAGTTCGGTAAGAAATATCATGTATAACGCTTAAGCAATAGAGGCAAACAAATAAATATTTAGATACTAATTGGAATACTAGCTAGCCAGTTAGCCAGCGCTAACGTCAAACAGCTGTCTACTGGCGTCCGCTGACTCTCTGGGGACCCTTCGGGTTGTCCTTTAACACCGAGCCACTGATAGTTCCTGGGGAGCTTCTAAAGCTCTCAGTAAACCTGATCCAATGCGTGGTATGATGGGAACTCAAACCAGTCCAGTCAAGAGCTACGATTATCTCCTGAAATTTCTCCTGGTGGGGGACAGTGACGTCGGTAAAGGCGAAATCTTGGAGAGTTTGCAGGACGGATCTGTTGAGTCTCCATACGCCTACAGCAGTGGTAAATATCTGCTATCTAGTGCTCGGTTGCCTAGAGTGAAATTGGTAATCTAATTGCATCTATTTTCTGTACGCACATAGGCATTGATTACAAGACCACCACTATTCTTCTGGACGGAAGACGGGTGAAGCTGGAGCTATGGTGAGGTTCTAGACTTATTAAATTACCGGTCTGTTGTGGTTTCATCATTTTATTTAGATCCACGGTTCTACATCTTTAACAGGGATACATCTGGGCAAGGCAGATTCTGCACCATCTTCAGGTCTTACTCTCGTGGAGCACAGGTAATATCTAAAGACGTTTCAATCTGTGTCTTTATTAAGTTACATGTCCAACAAGTTGATTGCATCAGATACATGTTCAAATATGCTCATTTTATGTCATAACTGGCATCATTTGCTTGGATTCATGTCTGATTCATAAAATCTTGTGTGTATTGGCCAACATGTGACTCTGTATGTCTTATGTGTTCGTAAATAAGGATATAGCTGTATATAGTTGTTTACATTCCAAACTTATACTACGTTAAGGTGATGTAATCTCCGACAACATGGTTTTAACTAGGGCTGAAATAATTAATTGATTATTAAAGTATTGGTCAACTAATTTTGTAATTGATTGTTAACTGGAGTGTTGACACTCTTAAAACATGACTATACCTGACAGAGCAACACACTTTGAGCAGTAATTATACAAAAATTGTAAATAAATTTAAACATTTTGCATTTAAGATAAAATCAGTATGGTCTATCCAGAACATATACTTTGCGATCCTTAATTGATAAATCAAAAAATGTTTGACCGAATAATCGATGAGCAAAATTATATTTAGTTGCAGCCCTAGCTTTATTCACAAATATACCAAACAAAGTTAAAAAATATATATATATGTTTTTCGTATTCACACTATTGTAGCAATCTAATAGCGCGGTCCGCAACCTGGCTGACAGCAGTTTATTGTTTTGGGCTTTAAAAAAAAAAAGTAACTGTTCTCTCAGAACTTGAGAGAACTGTGCCACGATACAGAACATCAAGCTTTTCCATCTAACATAAATTCCTTACTTTAGTGAAAAGAAGTTGCTAGAGGCAGCTGAATAGTTGCTAAGTTGGACACAGTGTTGGACAGTCATCTAGTTTTTCCAGAGGCAGGAGAGGGTAGTGTTGGTTTTCAAAATATATTGAATTTGAATATTATTCTGATTATGATTAGTGTCTGCTTTACATTGTTTTAATGTAAATGTATAGAAAATTATTATTTGCAAGGTGTGGCGGTGCCTTTTGATCAATTTGAAGTAGAGAAAAACTGCATTTTGAACAGTACATAAAGAGCTGCTGCAAATGGTCAAAATGGTAAAGCTTAACTACTGCTTACTGGAGAATGACCGATGCATGGGCTGATAGTTTAGGCCAGTTCTTCTTTTTATATCAGTTACTATGTGCAAGCATTTGCCAATTAATTAATTTAATTAGTAGCATGCCTTAAGATCACAAGCAGTGCATACATTGCTGCTCCCTCTATTTGCTACCCATTCTTAATGTTTTGATTTTTAATATTGTTGTTTCTTCTTTTTTTATATCTTATAGACTTATGTAAAAGTAATTGTGATTGGCCTTAAAAAAATTCTGCATCAGTCAATCTCTACTGTTCATGCAAGTAGCATTCATCTTGAATGCGGAACTCGGGTACCATCCTGTTGCAACCAAGTTTCTGACTTGAATTTTAGACTTTAAGGGTCATTCCAGTTTAAATTTTCTTGAAACTTGGACATTTGGACTTCCATTGATAAATCCCATTGTTATGGGGGTGTGACACAGAATTTGTAATGTAGATAAAGAGTGTTGGTTAGTACTTAGAAAGAAAAAACAGTCAAACTTATCCAAACCAATTTTAAGATTTTCTTTTCTTTTTTTTTTTCTTTTTTTTGTTGTAATAAAAAAAATACCTTTTTGACAATTTTTATCCGATACAACTGTTGGAGCTTATGTCCATCCTTATTCGAAGTAAAATCCTCTAAACTATTGATGTGAACTTCTTTTCTGGTCAGGGCATCCTGCTTGTATATGACATCACTAATGGCTGGTCGTTTGATGGGATTGATCGCTGGATCCGGGAAATTGATGAGGTAATCACCCTAACCTATGCACAGTTGACTAAAAAACGAACTTACTGTTACTGACTGTGCATTTCCTTGCAGAGATATTCACCTCCCTTGAACCTTTTTCTTTTTTGTAGCAAACCTAAGTCTGTCATGAAATTTTGCTGGATGATAAATCGTCCAAACGTGGCATAAGCCAGATTGATGTGTAATTCATTCTGAATTTGACACAGATCGATCAGGGAAGCCTCCTGTAGAAAGTGCTCGCAAAAGGGAGGAACATTCAGTAGTATTCTCCGAGCTGATTGGGTACCTGCCTCCCATGTCATTTTTTTTTTAGCCAATCACAGCAGCAGTAGCAGCTGAGACAAATCACTTTTCTTTATTTGTTTCATGGAGTTAACTGATGAATCAAACTTTTACCAAATCCGGTTGGGAGAAACGCATAAACATGCAACATAATCTTCCTGTCCAAAAAGGTAAAAAATTACCTCCTTTTGCTCATCTTTCAAAAAGAAATGGAGGCTATTCCAGCTGTTAGCGCAGCCATGTTTGTTTTGCTTCAGCCCTCCATCTCTAATTGATGCGATCTCACTATACGTGTCACTGGTCCAAAACATTTCTGTATCGAGGAGAACACTTCTGCTGGCTCCTGACAAGATGTATTTTCAGGAGTTTGTGAATTCACAAATCCCATGACAATTCATCAGTTATCCCAGGACTGACTGTGGTAAATGATAACAATGTAGTTCAGTTTGAATCCAAATTGCTCCAAGACTGTAGCTGTCTAATTCTGATTTAAAACCAATTCCTTCTGTTTACCCAAATTTCAACTAGCATTTCTCTCTGACTTGCTACTCCTCAGTCATGTGGCTCTCACTCTAAGGAAATGAGAGGATTGGTGGGTGTATTTAGTCATTCAGTCTAGTAAAAAGATGGAGATGCAAGGTATAGAAACAAGCATGTCCACGGATATTATCGAGCTAAATGATTGAATTATTTATCACGACGGATCAAAGCACACCTACACAAAGCAGAGAGACTTGTAAAGAAGAAAATGGTGTTTTAGAAATGAAAATCTGAAGTGCCTTCTTGTATTTCTGCATTCAGCACCCTTTAATAGACCTTATAATGAAGCTTTCCCTTTTCTTAAATTTCTGTTCATTGAAGTGTTCTGATTTGTAACTGGACTGTGCTTCAGCTACGTCTCTACAGAGAACGGGGAACATCTTCAGTCTGTAGATTAGCAAAAGCTGGAAGAAATGCACTAGATAGTGGTTCCACAAAGCATTAACCAATGCTTATACTGAACTTATGGATCATTTTTCTTTTTCAACTTTAAACACTACTTAGTGGTGGTCTCTTGCAGTGATGCAATAAAAGATGCTGATGACTTTGGTTGTTACTTTAATTGTTTTGTTGTTTTTTTTTACAAGAGATTGTTTTTTCCTTACTATCCTAATGTGGTTTGAAGTCTATGCCTAGAAGATGAGTGAAGTCATTCAGTAGGTAGAAGTGACTGAAACCCAGAGTCACAGCAGCTTTTCCTTTGTCTTTCAGCACGCTCCAGGCGTTCCCAGGATCCTTGTAGGGAACCGGCTTCACCTGGCCTTTAAGCGGCAAGTGCCTACAGAGCAGGCGAGGGCTTACGCTGAAAAGAACAGCATGACCTTTTTTGAAGTCAGCCCTCTCTGCAACTTCAACGTTATCGAGTCCTTCACTGAGCTGTCGCGTATCGTGCTAATGAGACACGGGATGGAGAAATTTTGGAGGCCCAACAGAGGTGAGTCTGTCAACTGCTTTTTTTTTTGTGTGCATTTTTTTCTGTTTCAAAATGAACATAGTAAAAAATACATTATTGAATATTTGCAGAGAAAAAATTCTTATACAGATTATAATTACAACTTTTTTTTATTTGAATATAAATTGAGAAAGTTTATGTAAGTCAAAACTGCCACAATTTTTACAAAAAATTAAATGAGAAAAAGGTTTTAAGTGTGAAAAAAGTTCTTTGATGTATGCCTCTATTGGGTCAGTAACATTTACTGGAGGAGAATGGAAAATTGAAATAAGAATAGTAAAAACAAAAAGGCTTCCGTTTTTATTTTCTATTGTCTTTAAAAGTAAAGTCCAAATTTTTTATTCTGCTGGCTAAAATTTCCAAATTAAAAGCGTTAAGAAAACTCTGACATGGTTCAGAAAACGGTCTCAAACGTTTGCCTTACTAACAGAACGATGCTTTCTTATTTGATCTAGAAAACACTACTAGTCTTATGGCAAACTA